AACCTGCATTTGAGCCCCAGGTCAGGGCTACTGGTGCTTACACTCCCCTGGAGGTAGAAACAGAGGTCACACAAGTCACTTTAAGCCCACAAGGCTATCCTGAGAACTGCCTGGAGGACAGAGGAGTTTCACTGGCTGAGTCAACATTAGGGAAATACAGCAGGTGCCAAATCAAGTCCTGGGGTGCCTAGGGAGCTCAGTCGGTTAAGCATCTGCCTTTGGCTCAGATTATGATCCCAAGATCTTGGGATCAAGCCCCACATAGAGGCATCGTTGGGTTTCTTGCTCAGAGGGGAGCCTGCTTCTTCCTCTCCCTCTGCCTCTGCCTCTGCCTGCTGCTCCCCCTGCTTGTGCGCCTGCACTCTCTGTCAAATAAATAAATAAAATATTTTTAAAAATAAAAATAAAAAGTCCCTTAAAAGGTAGTTTATCAGATCTGGACTAAGGAAGGTAGGGAAGAACTATAACTCTGATCAGCTTTGCTATTAATCAAAATAAATCCTAAGGGGGGGATCCCTGGGTGGCTCAGCGGTTTGGCGCCTGCCTTTGACCCAGGGTGCGATCCTGGAGTCCTGGGATCGAGTCCCGTGTCAGGCTCCCGGCAAGGAGCTTGCTTGTCCCTCTGCCCGTGTCTCTGCCTCTCTCTCTCTCTCTCTCTATGTCTATCATGAATAAATAAATAAATAAATCTTAAAAAAAAAATGTCCTAAGGGATACTTATGGAGTAGGGGAAAAAATGATCTTAACAGCTGTGTAGTTTTCACCGGTTTTGAATTTGGTTTTTCTCATTCATTACATAATAAGGTGTACTTTACTAACTAATACAGTTAAACAATACAGTAAATCTCAATGAAAATGTCACTGGGAGACCAAAAGAATAATTTCCAAACAAACTAAAGCTTACCAACTTGCGCCAAAGCCCTTTTATTTCCCTAATTATGAAATGTTTCCATGAAAATACCTCCAAAATTATTCTTGTGCTTCCCCAACTTTTAAACAGGCTATACTAAGGAAAAACTGAACTCTGCCTCAATAATTCAGGGTCATTTTTATAAAGTTTTTCCCACACTTCTTTCAAAACTGCTCAGAGGTTTTTCTCCCCAGATCCATCTGTCCTGTCCCCCATACTAACACTGCCTTCCTCCTTATGGAATTTCACAGGTTTCTTTCACAATTTCTACTAACTGGTTTGTCTTCCCTACAGATTGCAAGTCTTCTGAGGGGCAGGCCAGGACTTAAGTTTGAATTCCCCAGCGCCTAGCACTCCATTACGTGCATCCATCATAAACTGTGACAGCGCCCTATTATGTGCCAGGCGCCATGTGTGAACTAAGCCTAGAACCCCAACTTGGGAAGCCGTATCTGTAACAAGAATCAACACCTAAGGGAGAGCCCCATTAGTGGGCAGGGACGTGCAATGAGCTGCTTGCTCCTTCTCTCAAGGGTCTCCAGGAACTGTACCTTCTTGTTTTAGCAGGAATGCCTATATTTATTGATATGCTACCCTGGCCACCTTTTAAAGATCAGAAAAATCAGACACATAGTAGGACAAATATTCTTACTTTATACAAAGCAATTAAGCTTTCATTACAAATACCAGGAGAGCATTCAAAAAGATTAACTAGGAGAGCAGTGTTCTTTGAGTTTTCTCTTCCACAGGAAATAAGATCCACACTGTGTGTGCTTTCTTTGGCTGCAGCTGAAGGGGAATCCAAGATGCTCCAGTGCAGAAGAGGCAGGGCATGCCACTCTGGCCACCACCAAACCGGTATTGAGCTGAGAACCAAAGCTGCCCAGTCTTGTGTCATTTGAGTTTTGAGAAATAAACCTGTGAATTTGCTGCCCCAGGTGAGATAAGCAGTATGGAAGCTGTGGCGTGGGCGAGTCACTGGGGAACACTGGAAAGCGAGCTTCTTCACCACAGATGGTCATGTGATAACACCTCAGAAAGTGAAATGGGCATTTGACATGCCTACAAAGTGCCCTTCGGCGTTTGCTCTGACAAGTACAGAAAAGAGTATATGTTTATCAACTGTCACTTTGACAAACTCAAGAGATGGCACCGTGGGTTCTCACAGAGAACAAGGAGATCTTGGTGATGAGCACTGTGCCAAGGGTCCCTGGAGCTCGTCAAGGAATACCCCCAACCCCGTCACTCCCTGGGTGTCTCATCCAAGTGCCTGACCCCCAAGACAAGAATAAATGTTCACGATTTGGAAAGACTAAGTCCAGGTTCATTCACTGCCCTAGCTCAGGACAGCTTCGACCACTGTTATCTCTGCTTCAAAGGATGGGGTGGCCCTAGTGAGGAAACCACAGCATAGAGAGAGAAATATTAACACCCACTGACACAAACTCCATCATTTTCAGGGGGACCCCCAGATGGTACAGTTGGCTGAGCACGTCTGGTTCTTGGTTTCAGCTCAGGTCATGATCTCAGGGTCGTGGGATCGAGCCCTGTGTCAGACTCCACACGCAGCATGGAGTCAGCTTGAAGCTCTCTCTCCCTCTCCCTCTGCCTCCCCCAATACTCTCTTTCTCTCTCTCTCTCTAAAATAAATAAAATCTCTTTAAAAACCTCCATTTTTCTCTTGAGCAAATTTAATATTTGGCTTGTTGACTTCTAACAAAATGATTCTATCACCAACTTACTTGAAGAAATGATCACAAAGCATCACTGATAATTTTTTAATAAAAACGAGAAAGTAAATAAGATCAGAAACTCCATAAGAATTCCTATTCTTGATCCTTTGTTCCCTATCCTGTCCATGCAAAGCTGGACTAAACCCTGTTTTATGAGGGCAGAGCCATCTCCCCACCTCACTGCCACCCCCTGAGAGGGGCAGGGCTGGGGCCACTTCATGAGGCTTTAGAATGACCCAGTTATAGAGGGTAGTTATTCTGAGGCCTCTAAATGGCCAGTCCCTTCCCAGCCAATCCACTAACCTGTCCGGCAGTGTCACAGAGCTGGAGTCTCACAGGCCGGCCGTCCACAGACACCACAGCTTAAAAGCAAAGTGAAAACAATTATCAAAGTGTGTTTTTTAACCCGTTTCAGGAAGAAAAAAAAAATAGTTATAGCTGGGAACTACCATTCTCCCTCCAAACCTTTCAGTTATTCTGGGTTCCCTCACAAATTAAAGACTTGCCTAAAACAAGGAGGTCCCAAGGAGGCATTTTTGTCTACAAACCCTCCAGGGCTGGCAATTCCCTACCCTGCCAGGGCTGAAGCTGCAAATCCCTTAGCCGTTTGATGGCACCCCAGAAAGACCTGTACTTTTAGCCCAGCCCCAGAAGATTTATTTTCCTGTCACACTCGGTTCAAAAAACCTAAAAACAACACTAGGGGGTAAATGGGAACCAACCTTGCCATTTTAACTCAGTGGAAAACTTCACAAATAATTCTGTTTTCCCTTGGGAAGTGTTCCAAGACTTCATGGTTTATCATAAAATTGTTGCTTGTTTTGAGAACATGAGCAAACACAGGCTGCCTGCATTGTCCTGTTTATAGAAGAGGGCACTGCTTATCTCACCATGTCAGCTCAAAGAGAGGATTAAAACAGAAGAGAAAGCCTGCCCACCTTTCCACTAGGATGGGGTACTGGGCAGGGGCCTGCATCAGGGCACAGCCTGGATGTTTCTACTTGAATTTAAGCACTCAGGTTTGTCTCAGTACAACTTTCTAAATTGCTTTTCATGTTTACAATAGTCAGCTGGAAGGGAAAAGGGGTGAAAAACAGAACCATTTGGGTGGAACCCCATTAGTGTAGCAGTTTTCTCCAGGGTACCTTCGAGATGGAAGAAATGAAGCGCTTGCCATCGGACTCTAAAAGGTCAAGAAGCTTTTTTTTTTTTTTCTTTTAAGAGCAAGAGAGAATGCTTTCCATTAGCCCCTGTGGGAGACTCGTACTTTACCTTTACTAGTCCTTTCTAATAAATTTCAAAAAGACCTGAAAAAAATCCTTTGTTTCCACCAAACCAAAAAACACAGCACACCATACGTAAGAGCTTAAAGAGACGCTGAAAAAAATATCAAGAATCAGAAACAGGGCCAACGGGGGCGATGGAAGTCGGAGCAGTGGGCGCAGGGGAGAGGCCCGCTGAAGAAATCGCGTTTATTCTCAGGGTTTAATCCAAACCTAAGCCCGTAGCGCCGTTTTCACTAAAAATCAAGTCTTTCCTGCCGTCTCCGTGGCTCTTCAAAGTGGAGACGCCCCTTGTGAGCGGAGCCGCCGAAAGGAAAGGACGGACTCCCAGGGCCACAGGTAATGGCACCTGCGCGTCACCTTCCCGGTGAAACTGCAGCGGCGCCAGCAGCGTCGACCTGACGCAACTTTGCTACGCAGCAAACTGACCAGGCTTCCTGAACTCGACCTATCTGTTATTAAATTGCCATATCATTTCTTTTCGCACAGGCTCGGTCCCCGTACCCCGCCCCCTCCGCCGGGCTCGGGTTCGGGGGCTCCCGGCTGCCCCGCGGTCCTGCAGGTGGCTCCGCGCTCGCGGGGTCCCCAAGGCTCGGTCCGCTTCCCAGCTGGAGCCCGCCAGGCCGAGCGGCCCCATCGGGGGCCCGCGACCCTCGCGCGACGGTCCCTCCCGCCGGCACCGGGCCGCCGGCCCCGCGCCCCCGGCCCCCGGCCCCGCTCACCCGAGAAGTTGTCGAAGGCGGTGGGGATGTACTCGGTGGGGTAGCCGTTGGTGGTGTAGCTCACCACCAGGCTGGTCTTGCCCACCGCGCCGTCGCCGACTAGCACGCACTTGACGCCGCGCCCCTCCGCACCGCCCGCGCGCCCCCGGCCCCCCGGCGCCCCGGGCCCGCGCCCCCCGCGCGCCCCGCGCTCCCGGCGCGGCGGAACGGGCGGCGCCTCGCAGCGGCCGGGGAACGCGGGGTCCCCCTGCTGCGGGGGCATCGGTGCGCGCGCTCGGGCGTGCAGGCGCGGGCGAGCAGGGCCCGGCCCGACCGCCCCTCCGACCCGGAGCCCCGCGGGAGGGAAGAGCTGTCACCGACCGCTGCGGGCGCGTGCCCGGCCCCCGAGAGCGGCGCTTCCAGGCCTCACGCTCCCAGACAAAGGCGGCCCGGGGGCTCGCGGCTCGCGGCTCGCGGCTCGGGCGGCGCCACCTGGCTCGGCTCGGCGCTGCCGGAGGACTGCGGGCCGAGCGCCGTGGAGCCCGAGCGCGCTCTGTCTCCTCCCGGCTTCCCGGCGACACGACGCGTGGGGGGCGGGCGGGGAGGGGAAAGAGGCGGATCCGGCCCGGCCGCTCTGTCCCCGCGCCGAGGCCACAGCGCCCCCCGCCTGCGCGCCGGGCCCCTGCACCCGGGCCGGAGGCGGTGCTACGCCGGGCAGGAGGCGAGCGCCCACGCGGGCTCCGGGTCCCAGCACCCGCCGCGGGGCTGGCGGACGGGCGGCAAACCCCGAAAGCCGGTTGTGGGGCGCGGCGCCTGGAGGAGCCGGGTGGCGGAGGGCAGCATCTTCCTCGGCGCCCGAGACCCGCGCCCGAGACCGGCACCAGCGCCGGAGCGGCCGGAGCGGTTCCGCCTCATTGCGCCCCCGCAGCCGGGAAGCCGGGGCTTGCTCCTGTTCCCCTGGCTCCCCGCCTCCCCTTCTCGGCCGCCGCCGGTGCTGTGGGGCCCCTTGCTGGCCACGGTGCTCCACGCAAGGGCAAATGAGGTGTCTTGGGAACACGTTTGCAAGAGACTGAATTAAAAGGCAACTTTTTGAAGTCTAGCTAAGCCCATCGTTATTTAGCCCACCTAAAATAATTTATATCATTTGGGAGCAAAATGATACCAGATCCAGTGTTAATGCTCGTTTGGTATGCCATGAACCGGCAAATTGATTTTAGACCCAAATTCTTCTTTTATTTTACTTAAATGTAATTTGGCTACATTAAAGTATCAGGGCAGGGAGGAGACGGGGGGAGGGGGGGCAATTCCATTTACCTCTGACTTCTTCCTCTCTGCCTTCCTCCCACACTTAGCAAACAGTCCATTCAGACAACACGGAAGCCTCTCTGGGTCTAGTCAGGACACGGAGGCTCCTCAGGGTTCACAGTGTGGTTTCAGAAGCAGCACGTACTATTAACACGAATACTGATGCTACAACAACAATAACAGCAATAGCTAATACATACTGAGCCTTTAAGTGCCAGACACTGTTGTAAACACTTTGCCTGAACTAATTCCTTTCATCTTGACATCACTTAAACCCATTTTACGGATGAGAAAATCTCAGACACAGAGATACTGAAAAAGTGCTCAGGTTCCCAGTTCATAAAGTGGCAGTGACAAGATCCAAACGCAAATAGTCTAGCTCCAGAGCCTAAGCGCTTCCTTTTTTTTTTTTTTTCTTCCAGGTTCTTATTTAAATACCAGGCAGTTAACATACAGTGTATTAGTTTCAGGTGTAGAGTTTAGTGGCCAGGGGCTAAATCTCTAAACCAATTTCCTGAAAGCAAAAACAAGTTGATGTGATAGAAGTATAACCTTGGTCCCAATGAAGAGGTTAATTAATGAAGAGGCTAGATGGGTAAACCCAGGGCCCTTCACTTTCAGAGAACCCCTTCCAAGACTTAGGGGCCCTGGCAATGTGTATTGTAAATTTTGCAAAATAACACATTTTTACCACTACCAGTTAAGTCCACTGTCTCAACTCTAACTTCCCCTCATATTGAGAGGCTTTGAAATGGCTTCAAAGTGAACTTTTTAACCAAGGAAAGTGAACTTGGAGACACATTTTGTTTGGGTTTAACGGATACAGAGTCAGGTAAATAGGGTGAGGTAAGGGAAGTGCCAAAGGAGCAAAATATAGGGAGGTCCACCTTGCATTTGTGTGACTCAGAGATGAAGCCCCTTTAGGTTTAGAGCCTCAAACACCTGGCTTGCTTCTCCCTAGCCCTTACCCCGTGGGATTTATTTATATGGTTTTATAGTTCCTACGTGTAACATCACTGCTAGCCATCCAGGTGTACAGACAGCTACCAGTGGCACATCTACTACCATTTGCAGTGTCATGTTAGTGTCCAGCTGAACTTTTCTACATTGCCCAGCACTGGAAGGGTTCCAGTAGCAAAAGAATAACACATTTTGAGACAGAGCCAGAAGCTAGTCTATGGTGATTTTTTTACATCATAAAACAGTATTGTGAGTGTTGAGTACTAGAGAGAGTTTGAGTCTCTCAACTATACCGTCAAAATGGAAGTTCTCTCCTATCAGGAATATGCTCTAAATGTAGCACAGGCGATTACAAATGCATCATACGTTTTTGGAGGAAATCTCATGAAATAGAATAGCTATGACTTCCTATGTCTGTAAGGACAAAATCCTGTAGTGGTATCACAAACAGCAAGTTCACACGCACATGAAGTACATTTCTAATCCTCTCCTGGAAAATCTATTACCAAATTACAAAATTGGTCAAAGGGTATGCAGCTAGGGGGATAAAGGGAGATATTGTTCAAGGGTCACAAAGTTTCAGTTACACAAGATAAGTTCTGGAGATCTAATGTATAATCATATAACTATAGCTAAAACATTGTATTGTATACTTGAAATTTGCTGAGAGGGTAGATCTTAAATTTCTCACCACACACACACAAAGGTAACTACGTGAGGTGATGGGTAATGTTAATTGCCTTGATTGGAGTGAATATTTCACAATGTGTATATGTATCAAATTACCAAGTTGTATACCTTAAATATACACAAGTTTTTTTTTAATTTTTATTTATTTATTCACTTACTCATGAGAGACACAGAGAGAGGCAGAGACACCAGCAGAAGGAGAAGCGGGCTCCATGCAGAGAGCCCGATGTGGGACTCGATACCGGGTCTCCAGGATCACATCCTGGGCTGAAGGCAGCGCTAAACTGCTGAGCCACCCAGGCTGCCCAATATACAAAATTTTTAGTTATCAATTATACCTCAGTAAAATTGGAGGAAAAAGATACACAACCAGAAAAGGTTGGAAAACTGTGTGGGGAGATATGTCAAACAGTTTATTAAAATGTTTTCTTGTGGATTTTTATTGAAGTTTATGATACGTGTTGGCCTTTTAAGTTTTAAAGCTCGCTGTGAAGGATTTCTCATTTCAAATAAATATTTATTTTTATACCTAATTGTCTAGTTGGTATCTTTCTCTTAAAGAAGTTCCTCAAATTTGATAAACCTTTAGGCTGGACAAAATTTTACTCTACCCCTACATCTGGCCATAGGTTAGTTTTTATATCCTATAGCCTCTGACTCCTACTTTACTCCTTTAAAAAAAAAAAAGTGTTATTCAATTTACTTAAACTGAAAAAAAAATTCACCCCACCCCACCCTCACCTCTTGCAACCACCAATCTGTTCTGTGTATCTGTGACCTTGTTTGTTCCAGTTTGTTTGTATTCTATATGTAAGTGAGATCATACAATATTTGTCTTTCTCTTTCTGACTTTTTTCACTTAGCAAAATGCCCCCAGAGTCCAACCATGTTGTCACAAATGGCAAGATGTCATTCTTTTTTATGACTGAGTAATATTCTATTATGTGTGTATATAACACACTTTCTTTATCCATTCAGTCATCTAGGATACCTAAGTTGCTTCCTGTCTCAATTATTATAAATAGTGCCACAATGAATATGGAGGCATGGATATCTTTTTGAATTAGTATTTTCAAGGGTGCCTGGGTGGCTCAGTGGTTGAGTGTCTGCCTTTGGTTCGGCTCGGGTCGTGATCCTGGGGCCCAGGGATCCCATATCAGGCTCCTAGTGGGGAGCCTGCTTATGTCTCTGCTCTCTCTCTGTGTCTCTCATGAATGAATAAATAAAATCCTTAAAAAATAAATTAGTGGAGACGCCTAGGTGGCTCAGCTGGTGAGCAGCTGCCTTTGGCTCAGGGCATGATCCTGGAGTTCTGGGATTGAGTCCCACATCGGGCTCCCTGCAGGGAGCCTGCTTCTCCACCTACCCATATCTCTGCCTCTCTCTTTGTGTCTCTCGTGAATAAATAAAATCGTTTAAAAAAAAAATAGAATCTCCTGCAGGTGACTCAGGAAAGCAGGCTCTACACTGTGTTTGTTTACTATCTGTCTCCTCTCACAAGCGCATGAGGTCAAGTACTTTATTTCGTTCATCTGTATATACCACACTTAGAATCATATGGGATAAATAATAGACTACTATTACTACTTTTTATGCTTTAGTAAAATATTTTTGGAACACATGAATCAAATCTGACTATGTCTTATAGCAATGAATAGGAAAGACCATTTCTTTGCTCTCTTTTAAGAATGCATTTACCTCTCATATACCCGCATTTGATTTCACCACTATGCAATTGGTGCAATGTCTCCATTATGTCTTGGGTGTAGGAAATATGGGAAATGCTGACAATTGCCTGGGCACAGACTTTCTGCTCTTAAGATCTCATCCCCATGTGGCCTCAAGATCAGGTGTGAACATTCCTCCACCCCAGTTCTTCCAGCACCCCACCCCACCCCACTGCCCTCCACAGCCTGACACACCTAGACCAAGAATCTGCACCCCTTTCCCCCTCCCTCCTCTGACTTGTCCCTGTTTATCACACAGGTCTCAGCTTAGATATCACCTCTTCTAGGAAGTGTTCCCTGACCTCCTGATATTGATATACTTGTGCTTTTCCTACCATAGTCCTTTCTGTTGAAATAACATACTGACACTGGCTGTTCATCTCTTAAAAGGCCAAATCCTTGCTTCATCAAACTCTAACTCGAACACATTTTCTAGTGTGTTTTTTTTCCATAAAGTTCTTTCTACCTGTTCAACTAGCAAAGATTATCTAATTTTCAAATTAACTAATTATACTTTAATTTATACTTTTTCACTATTATGGTAGAAACCATCCTAATGGAATTTTCACTGTGTACCTTTCACTTTTCTATCTTTTGACATATTTAAGAAATAAACTGTAATAATTTTGTAAAGATTTTATTTATCTATTTGACAGAGAGAGAGAGAGAGAGAGAGAGAGAGAGAATGCACAGAGCAGGGAGAGTGACCAGCAGAGGGAGAGGGAGAAACAGGCTCTCCGCTGAGCAAGGAGCCCAATATGGGGCTCAATCCCAGGACTCTGGGATCATGACCTGAGCCAAAGGCAGATGCTTAACCAACTGAGCCACTAGCCACCCAGCTATAATAATTTTTAAATTAATATATCATTTACCAGGATACAATTTCCATCATCAAATTCAATACAAAGCTATTTTTCTACTACTTATAACATTTCACTATTAACCCATTTTCCATAAATAAATAACAGCAAATAACCAAATCAGAAGTGTATGGTTTCTGGATCTTTCATGTTAACAGGTCATAAAGCTATGTGTATTTATTCTTTCTTTAAGCCCCAACACTTTGCCGTGGACAAGTCAATCTCATATCTTTTCTTCTGCTGTGCCCTAATTTTTAAATGTCCTGTGAGAGTCCAAGAGACTCTTGGAAGACAAAGTTATTTCTCATAAACTGAAGATTCTGAGTTGGGTTGTCTATTGCCAATAGGGCACTACTGCTTCAATTTGAGGCTGGGACTATGTTTACAAGAACACCCTTCTCTGTGTGGTTCTAGGCTAGAGATGTCCAATTCCTATTGGAGCTCCCCAGGGATTTGGAAGATAGGAGAGTGGTAGAAGACAATCATATGGCCATACAAGATGGTAGACAGGCACAAAGGGGCCCAGCATGCCTTCCCTTCCTCCTGCTCTGTGCCCCCTCAGCATCCTCACAGCAACCCTCAGCCCACCCCCATTCCTGCTTCACAGAGGCTGCAGCTCCCACACTATACTTCTCCAGCTCCGTTTCATGACCACATCTGCATGGCTACTGGATTTTCTCTCAAGCTCTAGCTGGTATCCTGCACCAGCTAGCAACTCTCTAGTAAGTCCCAAATTCATGAAAGCTCCCCTTCTTAGCCCCAGTACCTTGGAGTGGCTGTTTCCCTGTTGGAACCCCGATCATACCCTTCCTTAGTCTCTTTACCACTGGTGCCATCCTAGGGAGAAAATCGACAAGGAAAATAATCTTGGCATTTTTTCACTACAAAAGATGGGGGAAATCATATAAATGGCACCAAACCATCAGCTGTCCACCACCAGTGGGTCCTTGTCAGTAATCACAAACCCCTGAACTCTTCCACCAGCTGGTATTATGGTAAGGGGTCATAGACATGGTCCAACATGCTGGTATGGGTGCCCTGGTCTCCAGAAGTCCTTCTATCACTTGCCATCAGCCTGTTGATAAATAGAATGAATAAATTAAGAGCTCCCGTTGGCATGATGAAATTTTTGGATGTGAAAATCAATTATTGATTTTGATGGTAAAGAATATTTCTGAAGGTAAAATGTTTATATTGTTTCTACTGGTCAGATTAGGCTAGTCTGTGGAGCAGTGACAAATAAACTCAAAATCTTAATGTCTAGAAACATAGGAATTATTTTTTGGTCATGCAAAATCCACTGCAGATCTAGTGGTTCTCCAAGGCAGCTCCCTTCCAAGTGGTTACTCAGGGATCCAGGCTGCTTGTATCTTGTAACTATGCCACCTGGGACAAACGTTTTCCAGGAAAAAGAATATGACGGTCATGTGCCAACTACTAAATGCTTCATCTCGGAAATGACTTCCAGAGCTTAAAGCTCTCTGTGTGTACCATGCATTTCTGTGTGTGTACAGCAATTTTGTAAGAGCTCAAAACTGGAAACAATCTAAGTGTCAGAACAGTAAAATGGATGAGTTGGTTTTGGAAATTATACTATTCAGTCAAGAAAATGAATGAACTGCAGATAAGCACAACCCTAACAAATCTCACTAATGTTATGAGAAGCCAAATACATAAAAGTATAAACTCTCTGATTTGTTGTATATAAAGTTTAGAAATGAGAAAAACTAAACAGCATTAGATGTCAGAGTAATTGAGGATAATTTTACATTTGGGAGGGAGAGGGGCCACAGGGGACCTCTGAGGTTCAGAAATGTTCTGAGGGGTGGTTACATGGGTGTTCATTTTATGCTAATTAATTATTACACCATATATGTTTTATTCACTTTAGTATATTTTGTTATATTTCAATATTATAATGATTAAAAAATTCAAACCTACAAATTGTATTCAATAGGACTGGCAGTTATTTGCATTTTAAAGAACTGTTTGCTTTAGCCTCACACAGTACTAACACATATTGTACACCTTTTGAATGAAATAACAAACTCTTATAGTAAAATTTAAATGTGGTTTGATTGGCCAAACACCCTATTTATACAAAACTTTTCCACGTATCATAAGTACTAAACATTATTTACAACTCTAATAGTTACTTTTAATATGAGCGTCATCTTCCACAAGTGCTATTTGTGGGTGCTTTAATATTTTTAACAGACTGAACTGGTCCTGCAGGATTGTTGCGAAAGAGGTGAATGGCAGTTTATAGACATAAGTTCCTGGAGGAAAATGAGAGCAACAAGGAGGCCCCTTGGAGGGATGACAGGTAACTTGGCACTGAGAACTCACTGGAGAAGAAAGGCCAGAATTGCTACTCCTGTGCTAAAACAGATGCTGTGCATGGCAGGCTGAGCTACACTGCAGGCACCCTTCTCTTCCTACAGTCTCGGTTTCTCTTCCTCTTTAAAATCCCCAGTTCTGGGGCTTCCCAGCTGTTGCAACTCTGCCATTGATGAGAAACACCAAGTCCATTCCCCCAGACCTGCTGCAACATTCCAGAATTGCCCTCCCAGCTGTTCTGACCCTTTTGATTGAAAAGCCTCCTTCCCAGACCTTTGCAGCAACTGATACGCTTCCAGCTTCCCTCCCCAAACACACATCACAGAACCTCCCCAGGTCAAACATTTTCCAGCTGTCCAAATCCTTACAGATGATAAGAACTCTTTAGAAACCCCTCTTAGCTATTGCAAAACCTTGACCTCTAATTTTTCAGCTACCCTGAAGATAAGAACTGACCGTGTCACCATTTCCCAACAAGTGTAATCACCCAAGCCAGCAATTCTGAAATAATAGGACTGTCCTATTGTGAATTTAAAAATATTTTTATCTGTTTATTAAATTAATTCTATAAGTATTGATTGAGGCCCTTTGTTAATTTAAGGACTTGTTCATGATCAAATATTTTGTTTTAAAATCTGTTTTGGATGGACAGCCCCAGTGGCCCAGTGGTTTAGTGCCGCCTTCAGCCCAGGGTGTGATCCTAGAGCTCTTGGATCCAGTCCCACATCAAGCTCCCTGCATGGAGCCTGCTTCTCCCTCTGCCTGTGTCTCTGCCTCTCTCTCTCTCTCTCTCTCTCTCTCTCTCTCTCTCTCTGTGTGTGTGTGTCTCTCGTGAATAAATAAATAAAAATCTAAAAATAAATAAAATAAAAATAAAATTTGTTTTGTAGGGCACCTGGGTAGCACAGTGGTTGAATGTCTGCCTATGGTTCAGGTCATGATCCCAGTGTCCTAGGATCGAGTCCCACATCCAGCCCCCACAAGGAGCCTGCTTCTCTCTCTGCCTATGTCTCTGCCTCTCTCTGTCACTCATGAATAAAGAAATTTTAAAAATCTTTTAAAAATAAGTAAAATAAAATTTGTTCTATAATTCTAAAATTTCATTAATTCAGATGGCTTTCTAATCAGTCAAAATTAGAAAGTTTTAAGTCACATTAAAAATATTTTAGGGGGGAGCCTAAATGGCTCAGTCAGTTAAGAGTAGAATTTTGGCTCAGGTCATGATCTCAGGGTCCTGGGATGGAGACCCGCAATGGCCTCTGCACTCAGTGTGGAATCTGCTTGTCCCTCTACCCCTACTCCCACTTGTGATCCCCATCCCTTTCTCTCTCTCTCTCTCTCAAATAAATAAATTAAATTTTTACAAAAAGATATTTTCTAGACTTAGCTCTGTCTGGAGAGCCCTTTCCATTGTCTTTACCTAATTAAATCACAAGCACCTTTGTATATCCGGTAGAGGTATTGCCATCATTCTGGGTTCTGTGCTCACCACCTTCAGAAGTGCTCTCCTTGGTATGCTCATTCCTCACAGACAGTGACCCTCCTCTCAGCTCCCACGGGCTCTGCAGACCTGGAGGGCATAGAGACATGCACAGTCTCACAAGGAGGATTCCAAAACTGGGGGGAGGGGCTCTGTGGCAACTGCCCCTGGTATTGCTCCCCCTACATCTTTCTGGAAATGACTCCTAGAGCTCCGCACCTCCTAAGCATGGCAGGGAACCAGATTTGGGAGCCACTGGGAGAGAAATGTTCCTGGGTTCTCCCTCCCTTGGAATACAGACTGGGCCTAGTTACTGTTAGGATCTAGTTTCTGGAGAATTTGAAACTCTGCCCATTTGAGACTTGAGAGACAAAGTGAATTCCTCCCATATATCCTAAGGAAGTGCCTTCAAATTCATCAATCTGAAATAACCCATAAGATGAATATGAACAGCAAGGATTTTGTTGATTAAAAATACTAGTTTTCTTTTCCTTTAATCCTTATAACACTAGTCCTGAGATTTTTAAAAGGAAATAGAATAAAATAAAATGAAATCAAATAAAATGCAGAGCAAGACTATCAGACAAGAAGAGACTCAAAAAAAACCAACCAGAGGCACCTGGGTAGCTCAGATGTCTGCCTTCCGCTCAGGTCATGATCCCAGGGTCCTGGAATCAAGTCCTGCATTGGGTTCCCTGCTCAGCAAGGGCAGGGAGGTCTGCTTCTCCCTCTCCCTCTGACCCTCCTCCCTGCTCGTGTTCTCTCTCTCTATCAAATAAATAAAATCTTTTAAAAAATTTTAATAGTCTTCCTGTTCTCCACCATGGCGCAGGATCAAGATGAAAAGGAGAACCCCATGTGGGAGCTTCGCATCCACAAATTCTGCCTCAACATCTGAGTGGGGGAGAGTGGAGACTGACTGACCCACGCAGCCAAGGTGCTGGAGCAGCTCACGGGCCAGACCCCAGTGTTCTCCAAAGCTAGGTACATGGTTAGATCCTTTGGTATCAAGAGAAATGAAAAAGATTGCTGTCCACTGCACAGTCCGTGGGGCCAAAGCAGAAGAAATCCTGGAGAAAAGTCTAAAGGTGCGAGAGTATCAGTTAAGAAAAAATAACTTCTCCGATACTGGAAACTTTGGTTTTGGGATCCAGGAGCACGTCGATCTGGGGATCAAATATGACTCAAGCATGGTATCTACAGCCTAGACTTCTGTGTGGTATCGCTATGTGCGATGCTGAAACCCGGGTAGGCCAGGTTTCAGCATTGCAGACAAGAAGCACAGGACAGGCTGCATTGGGGCCAAACACAGAATCAGCAAAGAGGAAGCCATGCACTGGTTCCAGCAGAAGTATGATGGGATCATACTTCCTGGCAAATAAATTCCCGTTTCTATCCAAAAGGCCAATAAAAACTTTTCAGTGAAATGTAAAAAAAAAAAAATAAAAATAAAAATAAAAAAATAAAAAAAATTAATAAATTTAAAAAAACAACCAACCAAAATGGGTAACTGTGCTTTTTCAGCCCATATCCGTTGAATGTTTCTGCATATCAAGGGGCATATTTAATGTCTAAAAGAATGGAGATCAACGTAGTTAAAGAAGAGCCTCCAAACCATACAAATTTAATATAAATGAAAACTTTACCTTATCTTAGGAGGGAACCAAAAACAACACCCACTAGATTTAGATTAATTCAAAGAGAACTTTCTCAAGCCACCATGAGCATACCCTTTCTTCACAGGCAGTGGGACTTTTCTGTCTAAATAAGAGAAATTGTGCATGAGGAATTCTATTCACTCATTTAGCAAATATTTATTAAGCACCCACTGCATGTGAGGCTTAGAGTAGTTGAGGCTATGTCAATCAGCATAACAAACACAAACCACTCCTTCATGGAGCTGCAACCAAAATAAGTCAATTATGTATCACGTTAGAGGATGAAAAGCAGGGAAAGGGAATGGGATGGGGTATCTTCTAATCAGGTAGTCAGAGAACGCCTCCTACAGGTTACATCTAAGCAAAGACTATGAAGGATGGATGTGACTAAGCGTTTGGGTGTCTTGGGAAAGAACATTCTATCATGTCCTAGAAAGCTAGTTTGATTCATCATGGAATGGGGAAGGAGCCTTCTAGGCAAAGGGAACAGCAAGAGCAAAATCCCTACTAACAGGGACTGTGTCAAATGGTCAGAGAAACAGCAAGGAGCCTCATGTGCCTAGGAAAATATTAGCAATCATCTTCTATGACCAGGTCATAGAAGAAATGAGAAAAGGAAAATGAATGTAGGCCATGGTAGACATGGTGTCAATTCTGCATGAGCCTGGGAGCTGCTAGAATTGAGACAGGTAACAGCAGCATCTGACTTGGCTCCCAGTCAAGTGGGAGAGGTGCAGAGTGCAGAGGTGGTGGTGAGGTTTTGAACATGCCTCAAAGATAGAGCCAGCATGAGCCTCCTGGTGCACTGGTTCTTATTTTTGAAGGTACACAGAAGGCAAGACAACTCCAAAGATCATAGCCTGACAAACTGACGTTAGCATGACTGAGAAAAGGAAGACCCTAACAAGTAACTGGTTCAAGGAGAAAGATTAGGAATTCAGTTTGTACCCATGAGGTTGAGCTGCCTCTCAGATGTCCAAGAGCAAATATTGAGCAGACAGTTGGATATATAAGTCTGGAGTTCTGAGAGAGGTGCTATCTAGCAATGTTAGAGAGCTTCACCAGTACATGGATGAAGGATAAGAGGGCATTAGGTCATCAAAGAAGAAGTGTAGACCAAGAAAAGGAGAAGATCTAGTGCTGAACTCTCAGACTCCAATATTAAATGAAAAGGACAAACACTTAAAAAGCTACAAATATTAAGTAAGACCAAATATCAGAAGCTGGGAAGTCAGAAATGGAAAAGTAACTGCTAAGTACACCACCTGTGTGAGTTTATCTGCAAGGACACCTGGGTGGCTCAGCAGTTGAGCATCTGTCTTTGGCTCACAGTGTGATCCCGGGTCTGGGATTCGAGTCCCACATCAGGCTCCCCGTGAGAAGCCTGCTTCTTCTCTGCCTATGTCTCTGCCTCTCTCTCTCATGAATAAATAATAAATCTTTTTTTTTTTTTTTTTAGAGAGCTTATTTGCAGGGGTGCCCACCGTCTCACTGCACGGTAAGTCATTTGGCCCCTTTTGAATTCAAAACAATCCTTGTCTCCTTTCTTTATAAGCTGGTCATTGTAACCACCCTATTTACAAACTGATTGCCTCACTGATTTCTGGTTCTGGGTTGAATGTCAGGGAAGGAAGGAATAACCAAGGTTGAGACAAAGTCTAGGCAATCATGGGAGAGTGTCCTCAGCACACAGCCT